TAACTAGATGTTCTTTGAATTTTTTCAATAAATCTTTCGCTTCTTCTTCTTTACGAGCGTTATACTGTAAACCGTTCCGATAATGTTGGCACGTGTCGCATAAATCCGTTCGTGGACTCATGATTTGAATATAAGGTGTTAATTGGTGTCATAACTTGCGGAACGCATCGTATTTTAACAATTTCAATGTGCTGTCGTTTTCGAGACCTGCAATAAAATCACGATAGACTGATTTGTAACTTGTTTCAGCTGGCAATAGTGTAAGCGATTGGGTAATTCGATTGACGTTTCTACCAGGACTTGGTAATCCATGAATTTCAGCATAGTTTTCGAGAAAATTCTTCACGATGGTAGCAACTGTTATATCGATGGTTATTTTGGTCTTCATCGCGGCACTCTTTTTACATTACCATGAACGCGAGGTATTATACCATTCGTTGCCAGATGATTTCTGACGTTTTCGAAGTGTGTGCGGCCAATTCCTAACATATTAAGATACGTTTTCTGACAAAGAGGCGTATTACGATCTCAGTAGTAGAAAGTTCTTTTATCAGTACGCGTTTTTTAAAGATGTTGGCTCAGCAGCTAATTCTCTACATTCATAGGCCATCTAGAGAACTTGAAGCTCCAATTGCTTTTTCGTACGGTTATAATAATGACTGTCCATATTAATATACAGATATCCTATATATAAGTTTTATCGCTGTATTATTTATTCACTGCTTTATACATTGTTTGAGTTAGAATTAATTCAGGGACAGTAAGTTTTTGCTTTTAATTAAATATCTTTGTAGCAGCATTCCTCTGTCATTTGTACTTAAAGAATTTATATGTCAGATGTTAGACAGGTTTTTTCTATAATGCGTTTCTCGAGCGCAGTCTCTCGGCTTAAACTGAGTTATGGGACATTCCACACTACACTGTTAATCAATAGCCTTTTTCTATTGCTATTTACACTCGACCACTTCGTTATTCAGTATTCTGCATTAAAGGTTTCAGAATTAACATACGTGTTTGATGTTGATAGTTTGTGTCTTGTGCCTTACTTGATCGTACGTATTTTCCTGGCGTAGCGCCAGCAAAACCGAATACCCCATTCACAAGCACGAGTCTTTTCAAGAACCATTGCCATACAAAAATCGCAACTAAAAAGTAGTCCAGCTACTAAATACAATAACTCTTATATAATCTGAACAATTGTTGCGTATTCATCTTGCGCCGCTAACAATTTATCGATTCATGTTCATCCCGCCTCATGGTGTATATTTGTGAAAATTCTACAACGCGTGAGGATAACATTGTTGTTATTATCACTAATATTTTTACTCTTCGAACCGAGCATTCTACCATGAGGACGTAAGGCTTCTTCACCTTTTATCATAACTGTTTTATTAATGTCTTGTATTTTTCATTATCAATCTCGTTCATATAATTTAGTCCTTCAAAACAGTAGCCCTGTTCGGCAAATTGATCAAAGATCAACGCGTTCCCCGTAACACATATTATGCGTCGTTTTTCTTTTCGCTCCAAGACTTCAAGTGTCATTCTTTACAAAAAAAAAACACTTTTCAAAGGTCATTAGAACCATTTTGTGCAACATAACCTTTTATCTTTATAAAATGCGTGTGTGATGGGGATGGAACAGATGGACATTACAAATTTGTCGTTCCATCTGTTCCGATCATGTGATTTTCAATCCGGGACGGCACAAACGGAACGGAACAGAAAGCTAGTTGCATATTCATATAATGGATTATTGCGTCTTGGCCTGCAGTTTCCTTTATAATGGTAAACGTTAAACCTTCTCAACGAGTTTACTAACGATGTAAGTGATGACACAAAAGAGATATATGTATGTTGGAATATCTTGATATAGTTATGTTGATATGCTAGTTGTTTTACTCTTCATATGCAGGTAGTTATCGTGAAAGACATGATTTTATGCAGTCATTATCATAAAGTGTTTGGGCAAACTTGGCACTTGTAACATACTGATATTTTAACTGTTCACGATGTAGACGCAAATAATAAGACCCTCCCAACCAAGCAGATTTGCTAGACACGTTCTGGTCTGATCTGACCTGGGTCTGTCTAAACATGGAGCAGTGGCGATATAGTAGCAATGTTTTTCACATACATATGTACATATATACAGGTCATCTGGCGTAGGAATCCGAAATAACATAGAATAATAAGAAAGGAGAGTTAACTCAATAAATCTATACGTAGACAGGCATACTCCTTTATATCCTCCCCTGCCTAAAAGTGAAGATATAAGCGGGGTAGAGATCTCATAACTAAAAATAATCTGCTACTGTTATTATAATATTAACAACTCATGGACCAGATTACCACTATTGAGGTGCGACACAGAAATACGTTAAGTCGAGTATCGAAGTGTTGTGTCGTCGGTCACTGACAGTTCAGTTCTGCGGAACGGTGGCGATAAAAGGCGTGTCCCATTCCCGTTTCGAACACGACTGAGAAAGAAAATGCACCAACTGTCCAGTTAGTCAGCGCCAGGTGGAATTGAACTCTCCTTGAATACCACGGACGCTGTTAGATTGAACTCCGTGTCAAATCGACCCTGTATTGTCGTAATTGCGACTGCACTGTACGCTGGCTTATATAGGACGACATGCCCAGCTCACGCATTAATCACGTGTGATCACAGTGCCCAGAGGTGGAAGTGGATTGGCCAGAACCATCGCCACCAACACTAGAGTTTGTTGACTGGCGAACTGCTTGGAGAAAGTGTGCTGGCCAAGTCGTCTCCATAACCTAACTAACCCTCACACGGTTTTTGAAGATACCCTTTCGCGTTATAAAGCACCAAAAGCAAGAGGAACTCGTCCGTCGGTGCAGTCAATCGACTGAAGAGGACTACAATGGAACAAGCAACATCTACGTCGAGTGTCGATAAGGATTGCTCCGTTTGTGACTGCACCAGTCTCTGTTAATTTCAGCCGCGAAATTGATTATCTTTGCACTAATTACAAAAGTTTTGGCCAACGCTTGAAGAAAAAAAACTCAACGCGCCATTTCGCATTTTGGAAAGGGCTATGTCGCGTCCTGGAGGCCACGTTGTGTTCTGTTCCTGGCGGCTTGTTCACAGTTTGTCCACAGCTTGAATCTCGCAACTCGTAAATCATGACTGGTCGAACGCTAGTCTTGGTTATCTCGAGAGCTGTTGTTTATCTTAGAAGAGGGAAGTGTGAAGGAGAAGGTATAGATGAGCAAGGCGAGCAAGGGACAAAGCAGGAAGGTGGAAGCAATTGGGGAGAGTAGGAAGAAAGGGGAAAGGTAGAAAGTAAAAGCAATAAAAAAGAAGAATCGTACTGTCGCGCTTGCTGTCGCGCTCGGCTGTCACATTAGCTGTCTTGCTAGCTGTCGCGCTTGCAAGTTGTGTTCTCGCCGTCGCCTTGCTTGCTTGCTCGCTTGCTGCGTCTGCTGCATCTGCTTGCCCGCGCTCACTTGCTTGCCGTCACCCTTCTGTCACCTTGCGAGCTTGCCGTCGCGTCGTTTTTCTTGCCATGACGTCTGCACTACAAAAAAAAAGTTAGCTGTTAGGGAGCAGGGGAAGGAGGCAAAGCAACATTAAACGCTCTTGATAAAACTCGGATCACGGAGATGCGACAAATTATTGATAAACAGAAAAACATGTGTCTAACAATAAAGCACTTTTATTATTATGCTATGGCAAGTTCCTTAACATCTTTGTTCTTTTTCTTTAACATGATTGTCGTTAATCCGCAAGAAACGTTTACATCCGCAGCAACAGCTGTATCAATGCTATTTAAAGAAAAGTCCATTAGCAAAAAAGAAAAGAAACATTTGATGGCAGGAGATAATCAGACAACCAATGCATACCAGCTTGGAAAAGCCACATCGAATTCGAATAGCCCAGTGGGCATGTTTCCATTCCCGGAAATTAATTCGCCCTCCACCAAGTTTTCCGCAAACTGGCCCCTTATGCGTAGCCCCTTGTCATTCTCTGCAACATATATGTCTAATTCCAATTCTTGCTTAGTTTTGGTTCCAGGTGTCAGAACAGTAATTACAAAATGCTCTCTTCACATACAAAAAGAAAATAACTGACATTAAAAACCTCCATAATATACAGTACAATCAGCAAGTAAAGCAGATGCAAACCTTTTGTCAAATATTGCATGAACTGGTATATTTTTGTCCTTGGCCTGCTAGTTACAACTCAGTATTAGGTCAATGAATAGCAGCTATTACTATGGCACAAAGGAGAAATCCAACTAAGTACCTTTTTCCGAGGCATCAATGGCACTAGCTCCTCAGTTGATTTTCTCTTTTCCTTTGCATTATCTGCATCTGCAGCCGGACTCGCTGCCTGTATCTATATAAAAGCAGGCAGAGCAATAAAGGTCGTTAGCAAGATGAAGGAAGAATCTTAAACAATAAAGACAACCTCTTGGTAGGTAACGGGTAGGCCTGATGTAAAATGCTGTGCAGCAGAGAAACTGACTGTTGTATTTGCTGGTCCGCGAAATTTTTTTGCCGCTCATCTCCGCATAGAAGATGCTCGCATCGCGATGTGTGTCAAAATGGACATGGCCATATCTGAAGCACATTGATAGATTAGTACATTAGTCGAGGTATACGTAAACATGCTGGCATTATAATACCACTCACCCAACATCGTCCTTCTTGAACACATGAACGAATGGTGGAGAGTCTATCGATCTCAGCCATGTCTTGATATCTTGGTCGCTTAAACTATGAACATTTCCGCTAAAGAACACACTTCGGGACGGCTTCCCACAACATTCCCTTCGGCGGTAGGGAGGCAGCTCACGTTCTGTAAAGGTTGTTAAATATAAAAAGCCTTAGTAATCTCCACATAGGAGACGATAGCCCTCGAAGAGAGACGCGCGATAGCCCTCGAAGAGAGACGCGACAACCCTCATGAGGAGGGGAAACGATAGCCCTCGAAGAGAGACGCGACAAACCCTCATGAGGAGGGGAAACGATAGCCCTCGAAGAGAGACGCGACAACCCTCACGAGGAGGGGAAACGATAGCCCTCGAAGAGAGACACGACAACCCTCATGAGGAGGGGAAACGATAGCCCTCGAAGAGAGACGCGACAACCCTCATGAGGAGGGGGACTTCTCAGTACAAACACAAGTGACTTACTGGATGACATCCTGGTGCCCGATGCGGTTTAAAGAAAAATCAGGGTTGCTAACTACCCCTACGTCTTCATAAAAAGTTACAGTCACATGTATGTATTCATCCAGTCATTGGCTCCGAAATCTTGTGTCGCATGTGGAATTTTGGTATTGCAATCAGATTTCTTTATTGAGAACTGAGCTACATTTACATTTCCTAATGAGGTATTCATGTCCTAATCGAGAAACGTTTAAGGAGTATTAATAAAAAATATATATTATTTAATTGATTTTGTATAATAAAGTATTGTAGGTTCTCCTGGAAGGCTGATACCTTGGCATTTTGGGTGCCAACCCCCATTCCCAAGCGGATTGAAAGTATATTTACTATCAAGCGATTAATGAGATCGACTCGCTATCCTCTGATTGGTCGAAATCTAAATCTTTAAATTCGGGAATGTGCTGATTGCCAAAGTCAAAAAGACAAAAAAGCAAAAAAATTAGCCGAAATAGTAAAAAAGAAAGGGCGGGTTCAAAATCGTAATTTAAAGACAGAGACATTATTATAGCCTTCTCAAATAAATCTCCACGTTTTATGTTCTATGTTTCGTGTATATGTTTTTCTATTATACTAGTCCGTTGATTCAGGCCTAATATTTGTCACCATTGTAAAAAATTCGGATAAGACGGAGAAATATTTACAAGTCTACTGTTGGATCAATGTACGCGGGAGAGCGTTCGTATATCGACCCTGGGTTCCAACGAGGTCTTTGACTACCTCGACTTTCAAAAACCTACAATTACCTTAATTGAGTATTCACAATGCTAGACCGTCTGGTATACGCTGTCCATAGATTATTATGTAACTTCGAATATTACATCTGTTTTTTTTTTTGAAAAGGTCGGGTAATGTAGCCTACATTAAACGCTTACTTATATAAAATGAAGAGTTAGCCAAAAATTCATCGTACCCCACGAACATCTTTCGATGGCTGACGGAACTTCTGCTCACAACCAAACGTGTTTTATTTGTATGATCGAATGAGAGCCTGAAACTCTGACCGACTTAATCTTTCACCACACTGTTTCCATTTACATTTGACTTTTGTTTCCAATACCAAACTGGTTTTCCTTGGTAAATATTTATCATGTCTTGCATTCCGCCAGCGAAAAGTCCAACTGCACCACCTATCATACATGCATGCAAAGTACTTCGTCGAGATAGACGATCTGTTCAAAATCAAAAATTTGCTAGCAACATCTTTCAAAAAAAAAACCAACTTTTTTTCACAGACCCAGTACTTTCGATCCTTACACAAAAATGAATTAGCCAGCCCTGTTCCAGCCCCAGCCACGACAGAATCAATCATGTCTGCTTCACCACGCGCTTTATCTAGTGCTGCTTGCGTTCCCGTAAATACCAGAGTTAATCCCCCAAACCGTTTCACGTATTGCAAGCCGATCTTTCCTGAATTGAGTATTACAGCGTAGTTTTTTCGTCTATGATACAGATACCATCCTTGCTTTGTTTTTGGGAGCACATGCGCATGTTCAGCAAGGTATTGAAGGCTCGCACGTTTGGCTCCGTCAATTGAACCGATAAAAAATGCCCACAGGGAAGTTACAGTCGTTACAGTTGCAATAAATTCTCCTGGGGCCAAACTGGCACGATCGAGCTTTGATGGCGTGAATGTATCAGACATTGTCGGTGACGCAAAAAATCTAATACACTTTCGCAAGTTTTGCTGCCAGTTAAAATCTTGTACCTCCGAGAATCTGCATTAGACTAACATCAGATGTCATTGTAGTTTATACATAAGACGAGATAGAGCAAGTTTACATATTGATCGGTGTTTGTTCGCTGTAAACATAGTATGAGGAGAGTTCAAAATATAAATCTGCTAGCAGTGTGATCATGCTGAGATACAAGGTTTTTAATTGGCGGTATATGTGATACAAGTCACGCTAAGAACTTGCTCGTCAGCCTACATATTGCGTCAGCATCAATAATCTTGTTCTTCAGTTAGGAATTTGCTCAAAGCCTCGATATTACCGTCAGACTAAAGAATGTCTTCAAAATCGACTTCAGCATCAACAAAACCCCAAGACAAGAGACCTGACAATAATAAACCAGGGCAACAGCCACCCACAAATATACCACAATTGGGTGCACTTGAAGAGGATGATGAGTTTGAGGAATTCGCTGCAGAAGGTGCATAAATCTGGTCAAAAATGAATCATTGTATATTTCATGTGCTAATCATACTCTCCCTAACAGATTGGAATGAAACCGAAGAAGACAAAGAAACTCATTTATGGGAGGATAATTGGGATGACGAGGATGTTGAGGATGAGTTCTCTAAACAATTAAGGTAACTGATTTCTTTTCCAGATGCGGGTGTCGTTGTCGACCGTAACTTTTCTTATGGCACTATTGCTGACATTAGGTATCTCTTTAGAGCTGAATTGACAAAGACACAAATACAACCACAACCAATGAAGATGTAAGACTTTCTTCGCAATAATAAAACTCTAGCAGCAATCTTACGAGCCATGGAAATTGCATATTGGCATTCAGCGGCGCATTATATGTCGAAATAATTTGTTATTTCATACAAGCAGCGACAGTTAAAGTATCATAATCTCACTCCTTACTGGTAAAACTCCTCTTGTGACCAACGAATAGTCTACAATGCCCGGTTTATTACAAAGAATAGTGCATTTCCCAACGTTGTCCACTCTTTTTCACAAAATCATTGGTCCAATTGATTAACCTCGACCAGTAATCTCTTTTCCACTTTTCGATAACTTGTGAGTGCCTGACAATGGTTAGTCTCATCATTTGCCAGGATAAGTGTTTTGTTTCCGTCACTAAAGTGCAATTACTCGGCCAACAAGCATGACATAGTTTGTGTTTTCTGCTTGTTTGATCCGGAAAGACGTTGCTTCGTATTGCTTCTTCCGCTATCTGTATTTGGTCGTATTTTATCAAAGACTTGGAATAACATTCGATGGGTTATAAATCAACATTGTTTAAATCCGATTCGTATACAACAGTTGAGCCAAAGCGCAAATACTAATTTGAGGGGAAAGCAGTTAGAGAAAGAGGCATCAAAGCCCATTTACCCGGTTGTGCGTTTTCGTATCATGCACCTCTTTGATAATTGGAGTTTTGAGGTCTTTATTCAGCCTTTGATAATTGGCTTATGGTTGAAATTATAGTATAAGCCTGACAAGACGCGTTTCGTGTAACATTAATAGACATGGTGATACTATTACCCGATCTAACTACTACGCTACTTTGTGACTAAACCGATATTGGGGGCCAATGGAGAGTAAACGTACTTCTACAAAGAAACATAAGAATCAAACCAACGATCACAAATCAAAGACTCATTCACCGCCCTCTTCACCATATCGATCAAAGAAGAGATTGCGTACTGTATTACCTGCATTCAAAAGAACATGGATACGTACTCTAAATTCGTCTGTAAATTGTCTTGCGGTAGGTGCACCATCGGATGATACACAAATGGACAAGAAAAGTTTGATGGTGTCAGTCGCTGTAGGTACTGAATCAGGAAAAGTGATTATTTTTAACGAAGGGAAGGTGAGTTGATACCTACATTTGGATTTACGGAAGAGCTTGCATGTAAATAATTCGATCGTTAGTTTGGTTGATTCCGCGTAGTTGATGCAAAAAAGTTATCGTATCCGACCAGGAAGATGTCGTAATAGAGACTAAAGGTGGATCCATCCAATCGATGTTGTTATTCGACGTAACTCGGTTTGGTTCGACCGACCTCATAGTAGGCGATTCGCATGGAACAGTAACTATATTCGAGAAGAAGCAAATGCTCAGCAAAAGGAACTTGGGGGCCGCTGTTAGATGCTTGGAGATTTTCCAAGACGCCGGTTAGTCATTTCGTTTTGTTTGCGTTGTACTCTGTTTTTTTATACGTCTTTTTTATATATAAGTTGTTGATTGAAGACTTTTAATATTATGAATAATTTGATCACGACATCTTAAATCTTCTATTCGTAGTGGGCGGATATGAAATAGTGGCTGGGGATGCATCGGGAGTAATCTCCGCTTTTACCGCTTACAAGCATATGTGGCGAATAAAACTAACCGACGAGACTGATATTTTACAACAGACAGCGGGAGTTATGGTCAGTAGAGTAGTATTATTGGATGTCATCCGATCTGATTTTTCGCATTTTGATTCTTACCATTGTCTATTGTTGTGCGTCTGTTTCACGGTTGGAAGTAGAAGGATACCTGCGATCCTCGAATTCGTTGCATGTTATTTGTTTCTCTATTGGATCATTTTAATGTGGAAACAGATTATTTACTTGCATGCGACAGAAGTCCATATGTACATTTCATACAAGGAGGACAGAGAGTTCTAAGCATCGAGGTTCCTTATACTATAAACTCGGTACGTATCGTTGACTGATAACTATTGTATAAGATCCAAGTGAAACCAAATTGATTATGTTATCCATAGATGTGTACAGGGTATTTTAGAAGGGACTATCGCACGTTACTGTTTTATGACCCACGCGTTCGACAGGTCATTCTTGGAGGGGAGAATGGATATATTTATTTACTGGAACGCTATCAGGTAAGATTATACCATATCGTCTTGTATATATGTGTAAATAGTTTACGGACTGAGTTTATTTTAGGTCACTACGCTGCTCAAGATCGATTATCCTGTTTTGAATGTGGCACGGTTTCGTCCGAACAGACTAGATAGTGCTGAAACTGATTACTTGCTTTGCACTGGGCACTTTAACGAAGTCCGAATATATAAAGACGGACAGGTTGCCATTTTATTTATTTTATCTATTGAAAACCGTAAACGCATTACTAACTTGTAGTTGATGACAGTTCATCCAGGGAATCACAACGGAGGATTGGATATATACGTTGGCTGTTGCAGATGTGGACGAAGATGATCAAGATGAATTGGTTATTGGAATGATGAACAATTGTGTAGAAATATACAAATATGATTACGTTGCTTAGGAAAATAGTCAAATAAAGTGATCTGGCACATTTAACCGGTCAAGTCGTTCGTATGCAGCTTGCGAATCTTTTCATCGCTTTATTCGACCACTCCATCTCTGTTGAATTTCGTCAGAGTTTTCTCAAGGGTCTCCTCGTTTACTCTGTGTTCTAGCAGAAAGCTGCCGTTAAGATGTAAAACAGGAATATCATATTTGTATTCTTCAAACCATTTCTCATTCCCGGGAGCGCGTATGTCTTTTTGTTCGAGTTCAAACGGTATCTAGTTACGAAATCCGATGGTGTATATATTTGACTTGAAAAAAAAAATACATTTAGTTGACAGACTCTATAAAATACCTTGTGGCGAACGCGCTCGAGGACGATCTTTGCCTCTTCACAAAGAGAGCAATTCTTTGATGTGAATAGTGTTAATAAAATTCGCCGCGAAGGAACAGACATAATAAGATTTGGAATTTCCAACATCAACCAGATATTGTAAACGTAGTACAGATTAGGTTTGGTTTTTTATCGAGTCAAAATTCGCTGATTCCTAAAGAGAAAACGCGAACGGTACAGAAAACGCCGATACGATACTCTTGTTCGCTCCTAGTCATAGTCTTCCTAAAAAAAAAGACTCATGCTAAACGTTATCTGCAAAATGAGATAAGCTTCTCTTGATCTATTTAAAACGATTCGGAAAAGTACATTGGATTACAATCTATCTTTAATATCTCTATAATAAGAGCTAACCTTCGTTTACAAAACTTATAATGTCGTTTGAGCACTTTACGTTTATTAATTTAAAGGCTTTCCATTTGACACTTTTTCTTATCAAGACATTGTCAATGTTCTACAATATATATGACCTCGCGCGTGAAACTGTTGTGAACAATTCTGCTTCTAAGTTAACTCTCATTTCTTTTGACAATAGTTGTTTTTTTAATCTGGCTTACTCCCATTATCCTGTCATAAAGACGTTGAAATAATAGAATCGAACGCCATTAGACTTATCAGACTTTCGAGTTATATTTAATCTTCGGTCGCTTCTGCTTTTCGTATTATCAGGTGTGTCTCATGCGATAATATGTGGTCGATAAAATATAATGATATTAATGTATATTGCGTCCTTATCTATTTATTCATATACGATCCATATTCGTTAAATGCCAAGACCTCACACTCGCGTTTATATATATGCTCAAATATGATGATTTCTATTTCGAAAGTTGATCAGTTGTCGTTTACTAAATATCTTCACGGGCGAAGGCCCCCCTCGAACACATCCATGCGATCGGGATGGAGACAGTGGGATTATCAGTCCCGTCCTCTCTCTCTCTCGGGCATCGAGGAAATTTGACCGAGCTCTGCAGATTGAACTCCTGACAAACATCATGGACAAAAAGCCAGAACAAGATATAAAGAAAATCAAAGTTGGGAAGAGTATCGGATCTGTTATCTCTTTAACGCCGCAAATTTAGTAGATAGTATGCCCCTTCGTATACGAGCTGTCATAAATGCTAGAGGAAACCCCACATCATATTGGTTAGTTTATCAAATAGAGTAGATCTAAGGAATAAATATCAACAAAAATATTTTCCTCCTCTTCGGTAATTTCATTTAACGTGTTGTACCAATCAAAATAATAACCTTTATCTTTGATATTATTCTCTGGCCAATGTAATTAGGTTTTAATAATTAAAACAACTATTGACGATAACATCATTGTCCAAAACTTTGACGTAAAATTATGATACTAATACTAAAATTGTCAATAGTCAGTTGAGAGAACAAATATATATATCCTTTTAGTAATATTAATAATAAGCGAATAAAAAGGCATGGCTATGGACGAGACGGAATTTTAAAGGCATGGAATAAGCTACTATTACTGAAACTAAAAGCACACGTTTTGGATCATTAATTGGATGTTATATTTTCAATAACGCCGACACGTTTCAGAATAGACTTTTGGAGTTTCTGATTGGAATGAACCAGTTAACAATTGTTCACAATTTTATTTACAACCAATAAACTCGCGCAGCTAAGCTTGTTTGTTTGCTTGCTTGTTTCACAAAAACACATTCTCATGTTGATTTGATACACCCGGGGCGATGCCGACCCTCTTCTCATTGCTCCGTTTAATCGAACAGCTTGAACCACTTGACACGCAGCCCGAACTTTTATTTTCGAGGCCTTTTGGTTCGAATCTGTCTTTTTTACCAGAGCATCCTTCGTGCATCCGACAGATTTTCATACTCTGCTGCTAATATTTCATCTTAGGCGAACCTCCACTTCCAACTTTTTTGTCTTTAAAGTGGGAGTAATAAAATGCACCAACTCCAGGTTTTGATCAGGTACTAGGGTTAAGTCAAAGTTCAACACCAAAGAAGCTAATATTAATCTCATTTCAGCCCAAGCAAAATGTTGACCAATGCATACACGAGATCCGCCACCAAATCCATAGAAACAATTTCGTGGTATTTTGTCGGCATCAAGCCATCGTTCCGGTACCCATTCATCAGCGTCAGGTCCCCAAAGCTCTTTGGAGTTTTGAACTTGATAAAAGGATGCTGAAACAGTTGTGTTTTTTGGAATAAAATATCCGCTTATTACAGTATCAGTTTTAGTTTGCCTGAGAATACCAGCAAGAGAAACAGGAAATCTGCGTAGAGTTTCGTAGATAACTGCATTAAGATATTTAAGCTGTTTCAGAGTGTCATGATCTGGAACAAACAGCTTTGATTGATCGCGATTGCGGACGTCTGAAAATGCTTTCTCCAGCTCGGCTACCAATGATTTTAGCGCTTGCGGATTCTGAATTAAGAGTATCAAAGTCATATTGACTGTAAATGAGCTAGTATCACCACCGGCAATTAAGAACTCCATGACTTGATCATATATTTCGAATTCGGTCAAGCCCTTGCCAGTTTCTTCATCTCTAGCATCGATAAGGATTTGAAGAATGTCGTGACGTCGTACTCCTTTTGCATTTAGAGCAGCTCGATCTCGAATAATGTTGGCGACAAACTGCGCATTGAGAATAAAATAAAACAGAAGAAATAAATAAACCAATAAATAACGAGTAAGCGTCAAGCTGTTTTATACTTACTTCTTCAGTGTAAGGATCTTGTCGTAAAAAAGGTTTTAGGAAAGGGAATGTTGCACGTAATACGCGCCTTCGAAGATCCTGAAATACCTTAATTGGTAAAGGATGTTCACCGTTTTCCAATAATCTGAACGATTCTCCGAATGCGGTTTCGCCAATAATATCAAAAGTAGCTGCTTGTACGCATTGATAAATGTTTATTATGGTTGGCTTCTCAGAGTTATTGTTCATAACTGCGTCGTGTATTAGCCCTACGAGGGTTTGGACACACGAACGCATGAAAGGCTCGAGTGAAGAAGTGTATTTGATAGAGAATGCCGGAGCTAATAAACGTCTTCTGTTTTTGTGAAAGGATTTGTCATCTGCAGAGAAGAGGGTTTGGAATGACGAATCAGTCCGTATTCCGACAATCTCTTCACTTTTTGGAAAATCCTGTAAAAGTAGATGGGGTTAATTATACACGCGAAGACTCCAACACATCGATCGTTTTGTTTACATGTTATACATACATCGGTCACGATTATCTGTTTAACGGCGTCTTTATCCGAAAATAAAATCATTCTCGGACCAACACGTACGACTGGTCCATATTGTTTATGAAGTGAATAGAACCATTCAAACACTTTTCCTTCGGGTCTTCGTGATCGAATCGGTATGTTACTAATTGCGTTTAGTCTGGGTCCCGGGATCACTTTGAGTGGGCTAAAGTAGTAATCATACACTGCATTATATATTAATTTTGCCACCACGGCGCTAACTAAGCAGTATAATAATCGTCCGTATGAGAATTCAAAATCGAATAAAATTATGTAATGCAATTCTTTTACATTGAAAAAAAATCGATGTAGTATGCTGTTCATCTTGTCTAATAGCTCAACGTATTAAATTATGAAATCTTATAGAATCGGTAATTCTGCTAATTGTGTAATTATTTTAATTTTCACGGAATATGGGCTCTCTTTATAAAAAAATTATATGGAATAATCCACCCTGCATGTGAGCAAAAATGGACACTATTGATACGCATATTGTAAGCTATAAGGCCGAACACATATATGCGTGGAAATATCCGAGATAAAGTGTAACGTGATACAGTTATGATAGTCCATAGATAATAGGGGATAATCATAATTGACGCTACTCGATTTGGTTGACTTCGTATGTCATTGGCAAATGACAAATTTTCTAAAATAGGGTTTGTTTAGTAATAATAGTGTCAATAAAAACATACAATCATCATATACATCTCGATATCTCGGCTTCGTGCTGTATTCAAATTCTTCATTAATTTAAGTAACACTATTAGACCAATTAAATCTGTTTTACTAATAATAATATAGTGATACACATAAATATAATACATATGTACATATCAATATGCTACTCTGTAAATTAAAATTAGAAAAACATGCTTATTAGAAAAAGATTGATTGCAGTTGGGACACAATTGTGAAACAATCGACTCACGACTTGTAATGACAGACGGTTATCATGTCACTATGCTTTGTTGGCTAAAAATAACTCTGAACAATTCGGTTCAAAGTTACACGCTTATTTGTGATTACTATTACGCCGTTTCTCAATCGACAGTTAGGATGATCGACGTACGTTTCTGGTCTGTGTAGGTATGAAGCAACAAATACCAACCTTTTTCAGGCTTGAAGACCGTTAAACCCTGGTCACGTTAGTCCCCCTCCATCCTGTCACATTCATAAATGCTCGACTGCTTCTAACCTTTTCCTTTTTCAGTTAGATACCATAGCTAAAATTAAAAGTTGAAACTGTTTCTCGGTAATCATTTGTTGGTTTTAAATGTCGCGCAATATAGAAGTTGTCTACACTAGATAAACTAGACAACAAAATTATTTAACTATTTGCTTTTCAAATTTGGACGTTGCCGGATTTGAGGGCCAACTTTGGGTGAATAGTCCTTAATCGCACCCAGATAATAGGTACATTGTCCCGTTGTATTAAATATAAATGTAAAGAGACTCGTGATGCTTTTAGAATGAGTACTTAAAAGTGGTCGAATTTGACAGGCTCAATTAAGTTAACAAAATCTTTTACGTCTCCCATCCCTAGAATGCGACCTTATTAACTATTAATATTAAACTTATGTTCTTGGACTAGAAAGTACTATCAGCGTTGTATCTCATTCTCATTAGAATTTTGAGAAACAGGTCTTCGTTGGATAGTAACCCTGTTCCTGTTAGGTAAATTATGTAACTCCATAGAAAGTGAAGAACACTAGAGCATCAAGTATTGTTAAAGTATGCAATAGTTGTAGAACTCGTCAATTTGTCTGAATAAGTGAACAAGTCCTTCCTATAAAAAAATACCCGTTTACAATCACATCACTCATAGTAATAGAGGCTTTTCCGCACCCCGTTTTGATTTACTTGCAGATGAGGCTAATACTAAGGTTTAGTGTTATTATAAGTACCATTTATAATAATATTATTATTATATAGTTTATGATCTTCCGCTACATATGAAATTCCCACACTCGATTTGATTTTCGCTCATCATGTCACTGCTTCGTAACATTGATATCTATTCAATCCTCGTCCTTGCCATTCTCCTCATACCCGCTTATCTCATCTACGCAAAAAATAAACGACGATCTTTATCTCTCGATCCTCAAGAAGCTCTCAAGCAGGCTGGTGGATTTATTCCGTATATCAAGAAACTCCATTCTGAGCAAGGCCCTATTGCCAGTCATGGTCTACCAATGCCAAATACCATATCCTGCATAGACACCGCGGTGATGAAAGCCACATTATCTTGTGGAAATCGACCAAAAGAATTATTTGCCTTTGTGGCTGACCTCTTGGGTCATGATAATCTTCAAATTTATGAGCAAGGTCGGGCGGCAAGATTCAGAAAATCAGTAGGCGCAGCTTTCGGTCAAGAAGGTGAGATCATAGACTATGTGGACAATCAATGGAAAGCCTGTGTAAAGTAAACAATATCTTATTTGTAAGCAGTTATTGAAGCCAAATTCCCAACGCTTTGCGATATTGGCATTCAATTTATAAACGAATGGAAGAAGGCAGCCGAAGAAAGCAGAAATGGAGCTGTAATACGAATGCAGGATGATTGTCTTGCTCTATCGTTTCATATTTCTACCAAAACTCTTCTAAGGCAAACTTTTACTATTAGATACAAGTAGTGTGAATTACTTGTACATTTACTTAGCATCATTCTCTCTCTCTTCTTTTTATTAGTACGGAAGGTAGAACGGATATCGACCTGACCGAATTCAAAAAGGCATATGATCTCGTTCTGGGTGGTCTTTTCGACAAGCAATTTGGTCTTTTTGATGAAAACGAGAACCAGAAAATCCAAGATGCCCTAAAATATGTCCAAGAAAACGTTAAGAATCTTATAGATCAAAGACAAGAAGAAATCAAGAGAGGCGGAAAGGAAAAAGGGGCAAGAGATTTGTTGACGATCATGATTGAAGACAATGATCCAGAGACTGGTGAGCCGTTTACAGATGATATGGTTAGTGAAACAAGATGCATATTGATAAAGGACGCGAAGATTTGCTCCTCTAATAGCTTGATATTTACTAATATTCACGTGACTTTATTCGATGTTCCAGATATACATGATAATGACATGTTTCTTGATCGCTAGCTACCACACGTCTGGTATTGGTATCCTTTGGACACTTTTCTGCTTGGCGCAAATGCCAGAAATTCAACGTCGTCTCCAGAAAGAAATAGATACGATGCTTCACGGTCGTCTGCCTTCTCTTGCGGATCTTGCGGATCTTGAATTTCTCAATTCAGTGGTCAAAGAAGCATTTCGCCTGCACTCACCCAGTGTCTTTGTTGCGCGATTATTACCCACTGACACGCCATCTACGTTTACATTAACAAATGGAGATGAATTATCACTCGAGCCCGGGACAACAGTGCTATTCCCCACACCTCTAGTCCATTCGAGTAAAGATTACTACGCCAATCCAGAGACGTTTGATCCTGACAGATGGAGTCAACAGAGAAAAGACGAAATTAAGCCATTAACCTGGTTACCTTTCGGTTATGGGGCGAGAATATGTCCAGCCGAGAGATTGGCAATGGTGGAAGTTAAGTTGATATTGCTATTGATTATGCAGAATTTTGATGTCGAATTGGCTATTCCTGCAGAGAAGGTTGAAGAGGCCGAGAGGTTCGTTCTTATGGCTAAAGATGATATACCTATGAGATTAAAGTCGAGGGGCTTGTGAACGTGTAATATCACACATATCCAGAATAATGATGTGAAGTCGTCATTTGCTACCTGTACTCCGTGAGATATTCCATATTGGGAACTTATCATCATTCTTTAGAATGCCCAAGGGAAGGATCAAGTGAAAGAATAGTGAATGGTATTACGTCATCAATAAATGTTATCGTTTGTGTCTATTTCTGACTTCGCGTGGATGATATTTTTTCCCCTTTTTTATTGTTATTTACCGGGAAGGTTGGACCAAGCATGATTGTCGGATTATTATAGTAATATACAATTTAGGTAACAAGGATAATGTCGTGAAACGGTCAAAAGCGATTAAACTGTGACAAACGTCGGAATTTTAGTTTCAGAGCTTATATTCGCATTCACTTTTCGAAAGACGGGCATACTACATTAATAAATTAGACAAATGGTGTTAAACGACACGACCACAACAACCGTTTGCTTCAACGGGAAGAGTAACGATGATCATGTTTGGTATCTAGGTAATCGTCGAATCTGACTAGAACAGTTTGATTTCCGTATAATTTATTCCCTGAGCAGAATTTGGATGTGAAAATTGTTTCCTCTTAAACTTTCTGCAGATTACTCGCAAATTCTTTATCCAAATCTCCTGCCTACACACTAAATGGTTTATTTAAACAGCATACGGCAGTAATATGAACAAAACGGTCTTTCAAGGCCGTCGCGGAATCGTTCCGTTACAACACAAGATTGTGACTGTTCCCGAGTACTGGCTAAGCATGGACTTCGCCGGTATACCGTACCTTGAGCCATGCTATGCTAGTCTGATCAAAAGAACAGAAAAAGAGATCACCGAAGAATATGCAATGGAGATCCATTCTCGTTGCAAAGCAGGGACACCGTTTAAATGGGATTCAAAGAATCCAGAGAATTCATTGCCTCCTACTTTACAAGGAGTAGTTTACCAGATTACGAAAGCTTGTCTCGATCGCATCATAAGAACGGAAGGCGGATGGGGATATGACAATATTCCGGTTGGGTATGATGTGATCGAAGTCGATTGCAAGACTAGTGAAGATGAAATAATCGTTGCAAAGACCTTGATCGCTAGGCCCGCTTCAGTCAGGTCCGGATGTCATGCATCGGCTAGGTAAAGTATATAAAAATCTTAACAAGCAATGCGAGTCCCATTTGTAGTAGTAACATCAATTTCTTTGTATTCAGATATTTGAATTTGCTAAGAGAAGGTGCAAAAGAGTTTAATTTCAGACGTGAATACCAAAACTACCTGAACTCTCTCGTGGCATTTGACGTTAACACAACCCGCAAGAAAATCGGTCGATCTATATTCCTGACGCTGTTCATGCCACATTTTACGCTTATCTTTGCAATACTCAGATTATCGCTCAAACACAATAGACGTATACCCCTTAGCGTCGCGTGGCTCGTAATATATGTGTGTCGGTTATCCTATATTATACACGACCGCATTTGGAAGTACTTGTTCGGTAGTGGATGGAATAACGAGTAAAGTCGAGGAGAGAGAGAGAGTAGTAGCCTATATTGATAATATTTTGATTTATTGTATATTTATAAACGATATCGAGTCACTCGGTATAATCCAATAATTTCCACAAGGTCAATGCAAACCATTTCGTAGTTACGTGTCTCACTACACCCACAGCTCGACATTCATCTTTATACTTTTCGTCAAGCATGTTCTTGATATTGTTCAAACCTTCTTCCCCCCAGATTTTTCGTATGTCATAAGCCATGATGTTTGGCTGTAATGAATACTGATTTGTTCGACTAGAAACAAAGCCGACTGACACTGAAGTGGCAATGGGGGACGAAGGAACCATTGGTAATTGTTTTTGTCCATCATTGATCGTATTACCCTCATCTTGGCCATCAAGTACCAGAATACATTGTAATCCAGGTATGCGTCTGCTGTTGGAATGTACGTCGTATTGTTGTTGGTTGCGATTGTCTTTCAACATCGGTATGAATAGGTCTGTTCTTTGCAATTTAACGCCTGCATTATCAACAGTCGTTTTGATATTTCCCCATTCTTTCTTGAGGTCTCTGAGCAATATTCGCCATACATGATGGACCATATCTGGTCTCCAATATGCTTTCGACTCGATCTGTTTGTATTTTCCTGTGTCAAGTGCGGTAAATTTAGTAAATGCTTAGAATAGCTTTCTGGTTGAGTTTGTTTATTTACCTTCTCGCGTCAAAGCATTGATGACATCGGCTCGTGATCGGATATAAAACGCAAGCCCATGTCTTTTATCTCTGTACGTCTTGCCTGTTATATCGGGAAGAAGCCATAGCCTATGTGTCTTTTCATCATATAGTCTAATGAAACGAATGAGGAAATCTATTGACGATTGGATATCTACGAGCATTAAATTAATATAGACGTATGACAGTAACAGGCGAGTATCCCCTTACGTCTCGGCATCAATCGGTCATGGTATATACAGCGACGCAAGGGTGTCGCAATAGCAGCCACTAAGAAGGTGTAAAAGAAACTCCAATGTAAATTTCCAAGCACATATATTCGAGGATAAACCAACTCAAACGTCGCACCATAAGGACTAGCCCAAATGTCTTGTTCAAATACGCTTAATTTGTTAAATTCTTTTTCCGATGGTGTGTTTTTTCTTTTTAAAAGTTTATGATATGGTCCTTCTTTATCAAGTATGATGGAATATTTACGAGAACGTATGAATGAAGATGTTATCAATATTTGGTTTTTCATTATACTAACGAGAGATGGAAATCGAGCCATAATAACGAATGAGCATCCAGAATTGACCAAAACCGGTTTATATATATCGTCACGTGTGGTACATTTACAAATATCATCAAAGTATCAATGTAAGCTCGAATTAAATTCGAATAGCACATCCTCGCAGTAACCCTTTCCAGTTTCAGTAATTCATCTTTTATACACTCTACAAAGCAACGGCTGAGCCATTGGCAGTGTCAGAGATCGAGCCGGTAATGGTTCATCTTTGGATTTCAATTCTATTCTGAAGTGTTTCAGAACCATTGAAACTACCGTAAGAACTTCAATGGTAGCAAACTGTTGTCCGAGACTGGACGAGGAAGAGAAAATGACATTATTTCCGATAAAACTGTAAGATATGAAATTTCAACTATCAACAATTTAACTCACCATGTCCTCGGGCCAGCATTAAAAACAGGAAATATAAAAGGGCTGATCTTCCGTACATCTCCATTTGCATCTAAAAATCTCTCGGGCCTGAACTCTTCGGCGCTGTCGCCCCAGATTATTTTTGATCTACCTAAACTGTAATGATGATAGGATACAACTGTACCTGCCGGAATAAATGTTCCATCCGGCAGTACATCGTCGTTAACCGCTATTTTAGCGGATCTTGGAACTGATGGATGGAGACGCAAGGTTTCCAAGAAACTGATAAGGAATAAAGGCATTAGAATCGATCCACAATGAAGCCGATGTCGGGATAACCATAATTGAACCAACATACACTGCTTCGGTATATTTCATAAGATGGGTATCTTCATAGGTTGGTGCCGTTTTATCACCGAGTACTGCATTAATCTCGTTCAATAATCTTGTTTCTACATCAGGTCTTGTACAGATTCGGTAAAACATCCAGCTACACGTTAAATACAATATTAGTCTATCACAAGTGACAAATATGAGCCCGCAATCTCAGACAATTATTACCTCAGGGCTTGAGCCGTAGTATCTCTGCCTATGAGAAAACGGTTAGAGAATTAGAGGTAATTCACGTGTTAGCCAAAGACAAGCAAGCGCTTACCAGCGATCATGCTAAAATCAAGTTTGTCAGAAAATAAAATCAAGGATAAGCACTATATGTATGAGGAGAATTGAGTACATATCCGAACTTGAAGTTCAATTGAAAGGATACAAGTTCAAAAATACGTCTCTCAATTCTTGATCACTCATGTCCTCCTGCATAAACAATTCCAACAAATCATTAACCGCATGTCCGTGAGGGTCGGCTCTTCTCTCTCTAATCACACCATACGCATAGTCATCCAAAAACTTTACGGCTTCACGGAATTTTCTGCCCCGTTCAGTAAACGCCTCTGTTAATTTCCAAAATGGAGACATAAACCGATGTTCAATAACGGATTGAGCGAAATCGAACGCCGATGCAAACGCATTCGGCTCGTTCGGCTTTGAAAGACATTGAAAGTCCCTTGAAAAGCAGATCCTTTTAATCCAAAAAAAAAAAAAAGAAGACTGAGCAAGTGTGAGGATGAAATTCAATTGGAGACCGCACAACTTTTTCTTACTTTCCAAAAGTATCCATAGTGTATCGAAAAAATAGTCCTTGTAAATCAAGCTCTTCCTCGCTATTCGACGCCGAGTTAAGTATCTTTAGCAACAAGTCGCCATCTTCGGCGAATGCTTTACAGATTATTTCGCGAAAGTTTCGCACTTTGAAGATATTGGATGCTCTCTTTCTGCACGTAATGTCAATTAAATTTAATTTCCTCTTTTTTTTTTGATGCGAGAATTTAACGTGAATTCACCTTTGTAGTTTCCAAGCGTCGCCGTCTACGAAAATTTAGTCGTAAATTTAGTAGAGTTTATGTTTAAGCTGGAAACTTATTGCGATTCAACTAAGAAAGAACAATGTTTATGCACCTGTTGCAAAGATGCCATGCCCAAGTACATCATGTAGGCGGCTCAACACGTAGTCCCCTTTCACGTAATTTTCAAAGTTCCCTGGTATATGGAAAAGTCATGGTGAGAGTTTGTGTAAGTGTTATACAACCACAATGTTCAGATAAACCTACTTTTAAGTATGTATTCAAGCGTTGATGGTTCGTCGATGCTTTGTTAATGGAGTATGTTAGGTCAATGCAGGTTTAATCGCGTTGGTCACTGTGAAACATGTTTGATCGATTACCCCACAATTCGCCCAATTCCAGGCAGGGATATCGTCCTGAAGAAATCAGGCGTTTTCTATTGTTAACTTACAAAACACAACCAAATGAAACGATAAATCAGAACGTAAAATACCATATGGGACCATATTTATTGTACAAGCCGGTTGTATGTTGCAAAGACGTCTTGTCTCGCGCAATATGAAAAAGTTGAGATATCAGATTTCCGAGTATTGGAAGTCCTCTGGGACCTATTTCAAGAGGCAGTCAAGTTGGACGCTTGAAATTAACATTTTTCATGTTCCTGTCCCAATTCTGTGTTTATTTCAAGAACGTTTCCCTTTGATTTCACCACGTACCAGGCAGTTTCCTGAATTTCGGAGTTCCAATAGCTCTGTCGGGGTATTTGCATATAAGGTAGATAATTGCAGTTATAAAAATAGCAAATATTAGCATCGTTGGGAATAAAAAGGTAGAGGTCCGAGCCGAACGTTGTTTAATGATCAATCATATTTTCCAATTTTGGAAAATGTCCCAGGGTCCGACAACAGTAAAATAAAATACGTTGCACAAAGAGTCGAAACATCGAGCTATTGTGGCATTGAGTGTTAAACACATTTAGCAGGGCGACTTTTAACTAACATAACTTTTCCGCGTGTCGAAAATTAGCCAGGATTGAACCATGACGCGAACTCTATGTATCCACACGCTTTACTAATTGATAGTTTTTCTTTTTCACCAGTTGGAAAGAATAAGAAGGAAAAGAGACAACTGAGTAAATTAACACAAAAGCAAAAAACTTTACAACTGCACTAGGGGTAATACGTGAGTATAAAAATAGGAACAAATTTTAATACTAAAGAGTAAGTTAGACTCATTTCTCAATCGTGTCGAAGATAAAGAACTAACTTGATTCAATCCATCATGAAGAGACTTTCACCGTAATGTCCGTGTTCATCGAGAAACAGGTCGGGGAATAGAAGGGCTTCTAACTATATAGAAAGCCTATAGCTAAGCGGGTGTAATGAGAATCTTCATTGTGAATCTCATCGGGGAAATCATGTGTTGTTGCAACGGTTTACAGGCGGTATAAATTTGTTCAGTTTCTATATGAGTGGCGCGTGGCCATATTGGATTGGCGGTAAAGTCGTTATTTTGTAATAATTGGGAGGGCAAGTATGGATTGCTTTTTTGTAGCAATTCACAGAACATCTCTTAGAGAAGGATGATACCAAAGATTTTCTGGGGAAGAGAGGTCGACGTTTTGGAGGAACGCACCCAGCATACCGGAATACAGTGATAGTCTTCGTAAACTTTTTGAATATCCAATTGACCTTTAATTGATCGGTATTCTGAGTAAGCGGATACATTTGATGATCTGCCAAGGCGCGAGTGTAGATGCACGGATGACAAATATTTTCGTTGCCATCAGGTACGTTTTTAGATACAAGGGGGAATTCGTGTCAACCTAGGACATAGTTTACATAACGGACATACAGCTACTTTTGTACTATGGTGTGGATGTGTAATGAGGATATGTGTTCAAATGGGAAGACGGGATTTGTTTGGCGAGTGACCCACTTGGTCTGATTAGGGTATAGCAAACGTGAACAATATGAGCACGGAACGCAAGGAAATTATGTACATGTATAATCAATTTCATGGAGTCTGCGGAGGACTTTTAATAAGACATCAGAAGGCCGCCAGAAGGTATGATTGATTTGCGCAGGAGTAGGTTCGTTAATTGAAGGGAGGATTGTAATAGATTGGTTTGAAGATGTTTCAAGGAAAATATGAGAAGTAGGTTGGGAGAAAGTGAACAATCGATTCATACGGTGTTATTGAATCGAAAGAATAGTGATCATGATCCGAGACATTTCACGAAATTTTTGGTGATTATTATATAGTAAAATCACAGTTTGTCCATAGCTATCTCCTCCTGTATGCACACATTCCACACCAAACTTTCACAGTATGTTCATTGATGTATTTTCCATTAGAAAATTGGTGTCATAAAGTTAAACCGCACATACCTTGAAAAGAATCTTACCCTAAAGTTAAAAAACACCTTAACTTTAATCTGATATAACGTTTTAACAAACCATGTTCTTTAACATTTGTAACCGCAAAATGGTAGAAGTTAACAAGATATTTAAGTTTGACTACTATTACTACCGCTGTTGTCTTATTGACATCTAAGAGAAAATTCATGTCAACATCAAAACAAATAATCGGCTTGTGTAACTTTACTATGAAAATACATTCGGCGTGACATGTCCCCGGTCTTGGAGAGAAATTCACCATCACCATCGTCCCCACAAAGTCTCTGATCTGTTATGGAAAATTGCCCATCAAAATCTTCCCATTGGTAACTCTATTTCTTCTATTTCCCCTCACTCCTCCTTTTGTCCATGGTGTCCTAATATTCCCAATTCTATCACACATCTTTTCCACTCCTGTCCCTCTTCATCAACACTATGGAATACTTCCTTCTCTCTCTCCCATCTCATTTTACCTTTTTCATCTCCTTTATCTTTATATTCATCTGCTAATCATCCTTCTTTCAAACATATGGGTCGCCTTATCCAATCTGCTGTTCTATGGACCATTTGGTCTTCTTATACTTCTACCTCCTTTGGCTCTGCTTCTCCTTCTTCTTCCTCAGAACTTGTTTCCTCTTTTATTAAACTCATATTCTTCTATAGATCCATCACCCCCTACCTTCCTTGGCCCTCCATATCTACAATCTCCAGAATCACATCTTCCATACCTCCATAATTTTATCTATTATCACATTCTATTCAATATCAATAGCTCCTTAAAACATTACATTATTCAATATTAGTATTATTATATCATAATATATCCCAGGCTTCTTAGCCAAGCTCTTTATTGTACCTCTGTATGCCTAGCATGTATGTTAAAACTAGCTCTAGCGGGTAACCGTAGTTAGACAATAAAGTTCTACATTATCGACATGTCCCCGGTCTGCTACTACTACTACCAAAAAGTATTGTATTGGGGTCATAATGAAAAATCTATTTTTTTTTTTTCGAAAATCTGTATTTAGTATTGGCGGTTATTTACTAAATATAAACAAACAACAAAAATTTTTATATCATTATGAGGCTAGTTTTCGAATAAAATACTGACAACTTGAGCTGTGCTTCAGTAAATAACGATATGTAGGTTACACGTATTAGTATGTAATAGAAAAATGTACGTGTAAACATATTAATATTACTGCCACTTCATCGAACTGCAGCTTTATAATAATAAAAAGGTTTAAATATTTCATTATTTCCCCCTAAAAGTACAGTCAATCAGCTTCATAACGATGTAAATTTGTTTAGAAATCTTCGTCATATGACGTGTAGTCAGGTGATTACGTATCCAGTGCCTTATTATTATTATGTAAACACAATTCAAAGTTATCCATATTATCTTTTTTAGTGTGTTCTTCTCCTCTTCGTAAAAGTTGTTGTCTTTTCTTTCTTTTAGTGTCCCAAGTTGACTTTTTTTTTGACATAATTATTATTTTTGAAAAGAGAAAAGAGAGGTTTAGAGAGTAGTCACACCATTGTTTAATAACAGTAACCTAATAGTAATATATACCTTATTACGTAAAAACGTGGCTACTTTGTGTTCAGCGAATGATCGACCGTGAGAATTAGTAGAAACATGGTAATGGTGGCTGTGCTGTGATATGCTCGTAAAGATCACATTCTGTAACGGCAATAGAATCTATTTACACAATAATAACGAAAACTCGAAATATTAATATTTACGTAATAGTAAATGTAAAGTATTGACATTATCCTTCTCTACGATGTTATATTTTGCGATAATGAATGTCATGTTCACAACCAACTATTCATTTATACGTCTCAGGGACTACATTGACATAATGTGATAAGTGATATGGTGCCTGCCCCTAAACATGATGGCGCACACTCCCCATGCCCCCAAATACTTTTTTATTGTCAAATATCATATGATATTCGCAGTTGTTAGTTCTCTATCGATACATTGAAAAGTTGAATATTAAATAATTATAAGATACAGGACATTTGCTTATTTGATAGGGTGCGCTTGGCTGCTGGCATTCTTTTCTAACATTACAGATTACAAAATATAAACCATTTACATTTGTATCCTTTACTGCAAGATTAAGATTGTACAATTTGGATGTTTGCGTTCACAAAGATGCTTGTGATAGTACGGAATGACGCGGGAGAAGAATTTCCTCGCCTTTCCCATACGCGCATTATATATGTTCCGGGAATTAGAATGTGACAAATAATTACCTTAGCAAGCTAATGAACAAATGCAAAAAGTCTTGTGCTAATTTAATAAACTTTTTCTGCAAAAGTCTTATTATTCGTTATATACTATACAAGCATGGTAATTGTCGTACTATTAGCAAGCAAGTGTTTATGTAGTAGTAACCTCAAAATCAAAGACACATTTTCCCGGATGATTGCCATGGGAATATCAGTCTTCGCAAAAATCACATAGATTATCAAATTACCTGTTTCAGTATTCACCAACGTGTCTTCGTAAATATAATAAAAGTGCATGAAGCATGATAGTAATACTCATCTCTAAAAGTTCCTCGCGATAGTAATATTCATCTCTGCAATTATGGTATCAAGAAGAATTGGCGTCCCGAGTGGAAGCGGAAGTGGAAGCGGGCGCGGTGGAAACGGGCGCGGTAGAAGTGGAAGCAGAAGAGGAAGAATAGGAAGTAGACGAGGAAGAGGAGTAGGAAGAAGAACACCGCATGGGCTGTTTCGGGGCCTGGCTGGATTAACGGTGAGCACCCCGTTGTGAATAAAAGTTCCTCGCGATAGTAAGCTGAAGGTAATAGTTTAAGTATTAATAAACCGTCAACTTCTAACTAATGTATATAAGGCTCGGCGGCGGCGACTAAATGCTCTTCGAGGGCTTGGATATGAGCTTATTGTCCAAGAAGCCCTCCTAGCAGCAAGTATAATAGCCTATCGGGGAAGAATAGGGTGAGTATCTCACTAAATATTTGTAGAATAGTTAGTATATCCGAAGGTACGCTGCCACTAGGTGTAAATCGAAAGAATTGAAAGCGCACCGTGGCCATGGCTTGTAAGCTACTGTGTTCAGGTAATAGAGTGTATGTATCTGAAGGTACGCTGCCACTAAGTGTAAATCGGAGTTTTGGTAAGGCACGCGGGGTGCAAAATATATATTATATATTGAGCAGCAAACATATCAGCTCTCCGTTACAAAGCCATCTGAGATGGTATTTCTCCATCTAATAAAAAGCTGCCAAAATGGTATTCTGATGGCTGTGGTGAATAGGATACTATGAAAAACACTTTATGGACCTGTTACATGGTATCTGAATAGCTGTGAACGTTCTTCTTTCGTTACCGGTTGTGGTGAATGGGATATATTGATTATTGACATATTTAATATTG